CTCATCAGACGGGATCTTCCCGGTATCTGTAGGTGGGTCCTTACAGTGGGAGGGCCCAGGAGGTGGGTCGAAGAACAAGCCTGCTCTTCCAGCGCCCTGAGGATGGTTATGGTGGTCTTCATTTCTGGGAGAAAGACCTAGAATTAGACAAACAAAAGAGAAGAACACACTCAGCATATCTTAAATGGAAAAAAAATTCAATCCTTGAGCTGCAAGCTTGAAAAATTCTATGGACACAATATCGAGGGATGCAGGAATCATCAAGAGAAGTTGGGAAGAATACACAGAATCACTATACCAGACAACGAAAAAGGACTAGGCTGCAAAGGAGCCACTGAAAACTTTATGTGTGAAAGCGTTGAAACAATGTCAGATACTGAAGGCCTGATGACGATGGGCCCCTAGGATCAGAGGGCACTCAAACTGTGACGGAGGAGTGGAATCACCATGGTGACTGGAGTTGGGTAAAGCCTGTGGGAGAGGAGCCTTTGGGACCTTCATTTGCTGATGAGGTACGACTCAAAGTAAGGAGAAACAGAGGCAAAATTCTGCTAATGATCAGAACAGGGCAGGTGCAAAGTATGAATCTAGGAAAATTGGAAGTCATCAGAAAAGAAATGGAGCACATACAGATCAACATCCTAGGCATTGGTGAGGTGAAATGGACTGATATTGGCCATTTTAACTGAAAAATAACAATCCTATGGTTTATTATGCAGGGAATAATACAATCAAGAGGAATGGTGTAGCATTCATTGTCAAGAAAGATATTGCAAAATCAATTATGAAGTACAATACTGTCTGTAATAGGATTATATCTAACCGCTTTCAAAGAAATCCAATCAATTCAACTATTATTCTGATTTATGCACCAATCACAAGAGGTAGTGATTAAGAACTTGAGGCATCTGCCAACAACATCAGTGAGAAATGGATCAAACATGCAATCAAGATGCATTGATATTGTTGGTAATTGTAATACAAAAGTGGGAAACAAAGACAAAGGAAAGGTAGTTACAAGATATGGAACTAGTGATAAAAACAAAACTGGAGATCACATGATAGAATTTTGAAAAACCAATGACTACTTCATAACAAATACATTTTTTTCAACAAGACAACAGGCAACAAAGACTTCCCCAGATGGAATACACAGAAATCAAATGGACTGCATCTGTGGGAGGAGACCATGGAGAACTTCAATATCATCAGCTCAAAGCAGCTCAGGAGCTGACTGTGGAACAGATAGTCAATTGTTCACATGGAAGTTCAGGATGAAGTCAAAGAAAATGAAAATAAATTCAAGAGAGCCAAACCTTGAGTCTATCCACCTGAATTTCAAGAACATCTCAAGAAGAGATTTGACTCATGGAACACAAACAACAGAAGAGCTGATGAGCTATGGGAGGACATCAAGAACATTATTCACAAAGAAAGCAAAAGGTCATTAAAAAGACAGGAAAGAAAGAAAGGATCAAAGTGGATATCTGAAGAGACTCTGAAACTTAATCGTAATGTAGCTAAAGCAAATGGAAGAAATGATGAAGTCAAAGAGCTGAGTAGAAAATTCCAAAGGGCAGCTTGAGAAGACAAAGCCAAATATTATAATGAATATCATTGATATCACATGTAAGTAAAATGTGCAAAGACCTGGAATTAGAAAAGCAAGTGGGAAGAACACACTCAGCATATCTTAAACTGCAAGAACTGAAGTAAAAATTCAAGCCATGAGTTCCAATATTGAAAGATTCTATGGGCAAAATATTTAATGATGCATGAAGCATCAAGAGATGATGTAAAGAATACGCAGAGTCACTGTACCAAAAAGAACTAGTTGACATTCCACCATTTCAGGTGGTAGCATACAAGCAAGAACCAAAGCTGCACTGAAAGCATTAGCCAAAAAGAAGGCTCCAGGAATTGATGGAATACCAACTGAAATATTTCAATAAGCTGATGAAGCAATGGGAGCACTCACTTGTCTGTGCATGGAAATTTGAAAGACAGCTACTTGGCTAACTAACTGTACAAGATCCATATTTGTGCCAATTCCAAAGAAAGGTGATCAACAGAATACTCAAATTATCGAAAAATATCATTGATATCACATGCAAGTAAAATTTTGCCAGAGATCATCCAAAAAAGGTTGCAGCAATGCATTGACAGGGAGCTGCCAAGAACTCAGGCCAGTTTCAGAAGGGGACATGGAACAAGGAATATCATTACTGATGTCAGATGGATCTTGGCTGAAAGCAGAGAAGACCAGAAAGATGTTGAACTTGAAGCATGTGCTGATGAAGATCAAAGATTGGAGCCTCCAACATGGATTGTGACTCAATCTCAAGAAGATCAAAATCCTCACAACTGCACCAATCGGTAACGTTATGCTAAATAGAGAAAAGCTTGAAGTTGTCAAGGATTTTCTTTTGCTTGGATCCACGATCAATTCTCATGGAAGCAGCAGTCAGGAGATCAAAAGATGTGCTGCATTAGGTAAATCTGCTGCCCAAGACCTCTTTAGAGTATCGAAAAGCAAGGATGCTGCTTTGAGCACCAAGGTGCACCTGAGCGAAGCCATGATATTTTCCAGCGCCTCATACACATGTGAAAGTTGGACATTGAATAAGGAAGCATACGGAAGAAGAATGGCTGCATTTGACTTGCAGTGCTGGAGAAGAATATTGAAAGTATCGTGGATTGCTAAAAGGACAAACCAATCTATCTTGGAAGAAGTACGGCCACAGTGCTCCTTGGAGACAAGGATGGCAAAACTTTGTCTTACATACTTTGGACTTACTGTCAGCAGAGACCAGTCCCTGGAGGACATCGTGCTTAGTAAAGGGGAGGATCAACGACAAAGGGGGAGGCCCTCGAGGAAATGAATTGACACGGTGGCTGCAATAGTGGGCTCAAGCCCACGGTTCTGTTGTGTACAGGGTCGCCTATGGGTCAGAGCCGACTTGATAACACCCAACAATGACAACATCCCTGGAACCCATTAGCTATTACATGGTAGATGTCAATGGAGCCTTGAGAAATTACATGGAACGTTTAAGTAGCGCATTCTGGCCCCCAGGATTCCCCGAGTAGCAGCCATTCATCTTGGCCCCATCTCTTGCCAACTAACTCTCCACAAAAACTCATCAGACGGGATCTTCCCGGTATCTGTAGGTGGGTCCTTACAGTGGGAGGGCCCAGGAGGTGGGTCGAAGAACAAGCCTGCTCTTCCAGCGCCCTGAGGATAGTTATGTTGGTCCTCCTTTCTGGCGGATTCCTGAGGACAGCCTGGACATCTTTCTTGTTGGAGGAGACTTAGGAAGGATTCATCCTTCCCATCAGGCTTGGGCTCTGGAACCACGTGGCCACCAGAGAAAGCATGAGGGTAGCCACGCTCTAGGGAGTTGAGGTTGGCCAGCGAAGAGAAATGCCACAGCTCCCTGGGCTGCACAGTGGGAGTGGGAGTGCCAGGGGCAGAGGCAGAGGCAGAGGCAGAGGCAGCGGCAGAGGCAGAGGCAGCGGCAGCGGCAGCGGCAGCAACAGAGGTAGAGGCCGTGGCCGTGGCCGTGGCAGTGGCCGTGGCCGTGGCCGTGGCCGTGGCTGTGGCAATGGAAGTGGGGCCCCGGGTCAGGGACCGTCGGTATAGCTCCATAGCCATGGGACCATACATATTGGAGTTGCGGTTGGCTCCACCACTTGCAAAAGCGGCTTCTGTCTGTAGCTTTCTCCACTGTGAAGGTACACGCCATTGATTGGGAGGCATGCCACTCTCTGGGAAGGAAATATTGAGAAAACATGAAAGATTAGAAGACAACCACAAACCAAATCAAACCAAACTCATTAGCATGGCCCTGATGTCTACTCAAAGTGTCCCTACAGGACAGGGTAGAACTGTCCCTGTGGGTTTCTGAGACTGTAACTCTTGACTGGAGCAGAAGCCTCAGCTGTCTCCCGAAGAGAGGTCTGGGGGGTTTTCACTACTGACTGTGAATGGGTCAGACACCAGGGCTCCTCATTAGCAGGATGTTTATGTATCCATGTATTGTTTGCAAACAGAAGTAGCCCACTTTTGGGTCTGGTTAATTTTTTATCACATCCTTTTTAAAAATCGGCACCCTTTTTGTGCGGGTGACAGCATACACAACAAAGCATACACTAATTTATTTTTACCTGTATCATTAGTGATGTTACTTACGTCCTACAAGTTGTACAACCATTCCCTACTATTAATTTTTAATGTGAAGGAAACAAATGTAGCGAAGGTTAAAAAAAAAAAAGCTTTCATCTTAATCATAACACCCAGAGACCACCATTTTGTATGCACCCTTCCCCTAGGATTTTCTTCTCTCCCTTTGTATACACATTAGTTTCACAACACACACTAGGGGGCTTCAAACCATTCATGGAGATTTTTCTGTTCTCTTTTAATTCCATTTTTCCAGGAACTTTTTTTCGATCATTGAAAGATGGTGACCAGACACCCATAAAAATAGCTAGAGACAAACACAAATTTTTCCCATGGCTGCACATTATTCCATTATTAGGACTAACAGAAAGATGAATTGATTCCCTTGGGTGGTATGAATGATCGGCACATTCAGCTGCTAATGGAAAGGCTGGAGATTTGAGTCCACTCTGAGGCTTGTGTGAAGAAAATCCTGGTGATCTACTGCCAAACCATCAGCCATTGAAGGTTCTCTGGGATAGAGTCTTCCTTTCGCACACATGAGGTATCACCAGGAGTGGGAGAATTGACTCCATAGGAACTGATGTTGTTTGTTTGTTTGTTTTAAGTGTTATGAATATCATATTTACAGGATATTCAGTCGTTTCCATTTAAAAAATGATATTAATAATATGGCAAAGGTAATTTTTGTATGTACATCTTTGTGCCCTGGTCCAATTAATTCCAGCAATTCACATACGTTTTCTAGAAGCAGAATTGTTTGAGCAAAGGTGATCTGCGCTTGGTTGTTGTTCATGCTTTGTTTATTTTATAGCTGGTATTTACATATAACAAATAGGAGACATTTAGGGAACCTTATAGAGTGTAGTTGAGTGTTGCCTGTGTTGGTCACTCACACAACTCTAGGTGTTGAAACCTTGTTTTCAAGGGGATTCTGGCACAGGGATGTTAAGAAACTGGGTCAAGACAGCAAAGCAGAAGAGCCAAGTGCGGATCTGAGCCCTAAGTGATAGGGAGAAAAGTCATTGCTTGGACCTCCCCTTGCAAAAACACAAGGTGCCTGGTCAAGGTAGGGTGTCTCAGCTTATTCTTGCAGAGTCCCCATTGGCTACCTCATGGCCCTGAGGCCTCCTTTCGGGCCGTAGCCACACCTCCAACTGTACCTGTAAGAGGGACTGAATTTGAGCTCTCAAGCAGTCTACTATAGATGGATATTTTTCCCATTTGCAATACCCACCCAGGAAGAAGAGGAGAAGGAGAGAGAGCTCTTCCAGATGGTGCTTAAAGAAAGTCTAGAGCCTCTCACATCTCCAAGCTAATGAAAGCGGAGTCGAGTAGCCATGAAGGAAACAAAGGACAATTCAAGGACTGGAGAGGTTTTCTGGTGCGCTGGCCCCTCAATGTTCAGTTTGACCAGAATTTGAACGGGATTAAAAAAAAATGTCTCAGAGGCCTACCATGTGATAGCAAAGCACCTTCAGCCACCACTCTAGCTTTGCTTGTGACACAGATGATAAAAACAAACTTGGGCCTGCCGCTGCTCCCCCTCACCCTAACCCCTGATGGGCAAAGAGGTTGGGGGCGCATCCTGCCCGTCGTTTTATGTCCTTCACAATGAGTGATGGGCAATGGCTGGCCTCTTCTAATGAAAGCGCCAGCAAGGAAACATTACCTGTGTGGCCCAGAGAGATTAGCTGATTTGGTATAATCCCTGCCCACACTAGCTGTTGAATAAGGGTTTTGCATGTCCTAAGCACTAAACAGCAAGAATGAGTAGCCTCTGATAGACAGGTGAGTTCCACCTGGAGTGGTTTTATAGCTCTCCTATGTCTAGGCTGCTTGAAATATGGAAGACGAGGCCCCAGCTATTTCTTTCCAAGAATTCCCTGCCTAAATGTAAAAAGGTCCCATGTGGTTGTTGAGTGCGCCAAAGCACAGTCTGAATGGGGAGATACTGGTTCAAGGCTCCTGTTGTTAATAACAAGAGTCCCGGCGACACTTCCCTCCGACTCACTTGACCCCCCTAGGTTACCTCTGGAGATGAGGGATGTGAGCAGACTTTTCCACTCCCAACCCACATTCGCCAAAGGAGAAGAACACCCTGGGACCGGCTGGATTTCTACCCTTAGAAGAACACGAAAGACTTTCACCCCTTATACGTTTATCTTCTGGATCCAGACTCTGCCTCTTAATCCCCCTCTTACCTCTAGAAGTCCTAGGTCTGCCCAGGGAGTGCTAGCCCTAAGTTCCCATTCTGCCTCAGGGCTTGAAATTGGCAAGCCACTCCACTGTCACCTAGGCCAACCAAGAAAACCACCCCTATGCGCCTACTTATATACCGACTTATACAGCCACTTACAGCCACTTATACAGACTACCCCTACTGAAATGCTATCCTTGTAAGATGGCTCTGCCTCCCTACTCCTTCCCTACCAGTTTCTGGATAGGATGTAAAGAAAGATAACTGGTACCCAGTGAGGGGGTGGTGCTCAAAATACATTTGTGCAAGCTCCCTTTCCTTACTAGGAAAGGAGATATGAAGTTGTCAATGTGCACAAGTGCTATGAGCAACTAGTCTGACTACATCTATCCCCTGGAGCTCTTCACCCTATAAACCTCAGCATTTCTTCCCCGCTCCCACTTGATTACGGGAGACAGGAGGGGAGGGAGAAGGAGGCGAGACCTTTGACACTAGCTTGGGAAGGCTCCGCGTGCTCAGGTATGTGCCTTCTTGCCTTCTCCCAACCCCTGAGCAATGTGGTCAGGCCTGGGCTGGACTTGGGGGCCTGTGTTGGGGGCAGGATGCACACCAGACTATGTCCCCAGAAATGGAAGTTACTGAAACTTCTTGGGTTACCAAGTCTGAAACTCCCAATGTCCTTTGAAAATGGAAATAATTCAAAGGCACCTTTAACTTCTGTTTTCTTTTCTGAAGTGTGGCCAGTATAAATTTACATGCGTCAATAAAAATCACTTGGATGTGGGAAAAGAAGCCAAGAACCCTGGTTACATTCCCTAGGTACACAGGTCTGTGCATTTGGGCTTTGCATCGGTGGCTTTACTGAGTGCTTAGAAGGCGGCCCAGCCTGGGGATGGGGGCCCATGAATAGGCAGCCTGTTCTCCTGGGCAGGGATTGGCTGTGGATGGGCAGCTAGGTGCTGGTCTGAAAAAGTGTTGACGGTCAAAAATGAAAGACCACTCTATGGATTTCCACCATTTTTTTTTTTTGCAGCTGCACCTATGCCACTTAATATCTCCAGTGAGCAAGCACTGCTGTGGGACGGGTCTTCTTTCATGGGGCCACCTAAGAGAAACCCGATTCCTAACTGAGATAAGAGAGGCCTTGAGGGCAACAACCTTTCCTTCATTTGCACAACCAGTAGACAAACATTTGTCTACCTAGCTATCCCACCCCACACTCGGTGAGGGTGACAACATCCTCCTAGTCAAAGGGCCTGCGAGATTCCCACAGGGAAAATGCCTCTTTCAAGATGACCAGGAGAGAAGAAAGCTGCCTCTCTGTTTGGCCTGGGAAGGGCCTATACATAGGATTCTCCCATACTGCCCAAGTTTCCTTTCGGGCAGAGGCGTTCACCTAAAGACCCAGGGGTCCGAGGAAACAGTACAGTTGGCACACAACAGAATGCTCTGGAAAACCAGTGGCCTACAGGAGAGATCAGCTCCTCTGTGATCCTAACGCTCTCATTGAAGTCCTTGTTTCCACTCTAGTTATCCAAGCCATCACCTGTCTGTTGGTCATACTGTGGTTATCCAAGCCATCACCTGTCTGTTGGTCATACTGTGGTGGCTTGAATGTTGCTCTGATGTTGGATGCTATGCCACCAGTATTTCAAATAAGCGTATGGTCACCCAGGGCAGACAGTCTTCAGCAGAACTTCCAGGTGAAGACTAAGAAGAAAGATCTGGAGATCTACTTCTGAAAGAATCTAATGAAAACCTCTGGACCCCCTCATTGGACAATGGGATGCTGAAAGAGGAACCTCCTTGGTTGGAATTGACACAAAATGCACAGTGACTGCAGCAATGAACTGAAGCCAACCATCAATCTTGAAGATTGGGCAACATCTCATTTTATCTCGTACATCGGGTTGCCACGAGTCAACAGGGTTAACTCCACAGCAGCTAGCAAGGATGGCTCCTCCAGTAACGCCTGTCAAGCTTCCTGGTGCTACAGTGGTGTAGACAGCACACTGCACTCTCTCTCTAGCCAGACCTCATACATAGGTAGCATGCATCAATACTTGGTGATCCAAATCATAACTCCATCCATTAATTCATTCAACTCACACTAATGGAGTGCCTTCCGTGTACCAAGCCGTGTGCTAGGTACTTGGATAGCAGCAATTAACAGCCTGAATGTCAGCTCCCATGGAATTCAGTCAAGAGAAAAGGAGGAGACAAAGAAGGAATCCATGAATATATAGCACTCATATCTGGTGATAACAAAGACTCAGGAGAAAAACATAGAATGGGATCAGAAGACATAGGTGATCGTAGGAGGGCTTCTATTTTTTAAAAATCGGTTATTCATAGTAGGCTTATCTGAAGAGGTGGTGTTCAGATAGGGATGTGAATAAGGAATGGACAGCTACGCAGATATTTGAGGAAAGAGCATTCTAGGGAGAGGGCACTAAGTGCAAAGAACTTAAGGCAAGATTGGACTTGGTGTGTTCTATGGAATGTCCAGGAAACTGTAGTGGACTGAATAAAATGGAAGTAGTAGACTATGATATTGGGCAGTTAACATGTACCCAGATGTGGTTAATGTTCCATGATAGACGTTGGATTTGATTTCACAGAAGATAGGAAGCTATTGAAGGGTTTTGAACATATGAGCGACATGATCTGACTTTCGTCGTAATGGTATCAATATGGTCTCTATGTTGAGATTAGAGAGAAGAGAAGCTAGGGTAGTGAGGCCAACGAGCAAGCTACTGCACTAATGCCTGGGATAGATGATAGCCACAGCCGAAAAAGAAGTGGTCAACTCGTGAATATATTTTGAAGATAGAAATGAGAGAATTTACCAAAATATTGAAATGAGGGTGAAAGATAAATAGAGATGCAAACATTACTCTAAATAATTGGAAGTATACATTTGCCATTTATTGGAGGGAGGAGTTCAAGGAGGGGCAGGTTAGAGAGAAGATTAAGAATGCATTCTGGGACCTAGTTTGTTTGAGATTCCTATTAGACCTAGGAAGTGAAGATATCAAGTTGACAGTTGACGCTACAGATACGGAAATCAGACTGGATTTAAGATCAAGGGACTGGAAAGGATCATCTAAGGAGTGACTTGAGAGAGAGAAGAGTCAGGAGTCCTAGAACCCTGGAACGTTTAGAAGTTGGAAAGAGGAGGAAAATCCGGCAAGTAAGACGTAAAAGGAATAGTAACCAAGGGAGTAGGAGGGAAACCTAGAGATTGTGGTGTACTGAGACTCAAGCGAAGGAAGTACTCAAATGCTGCTGGTCAAATGAGATAAAGACAGAAGGACCATGGCATTTGGAAAATGGGGGTCCTGGCTAACCTTGATAAAAGGATTTCTAAGGAGTGATGAATATGAAACCTTGAGTTAAGTGCATTCATGAGAGCGTGAGGAGAGGGGAAGAAGAGATAGTGCACATAAATAACATTTTTCAGTTTCGCTGCAAAAAGCAGCAGAATTAGGCAATAGGCGAAGAGTTAGTTTTAGCTCAGGGTTTATCAGTGTTATGGATTGAGTTGTGGTCCCAGTAAAAGTCCCAGTTGACGTCCCAAGTCTATGAATGTGACCTCTTTTGAAATAGGTTCTTTCTTTGAAGATGTTATCAGCTAGGTTAACATTAGGTCACACTAGAGTAGGGTGTATCTTAGCCCATATGACTGGTGTCCTTATGAAAAAGAAGATACATTGAGACAAATACATAGAAAGGACACCATGTGGTAGTGCAGCTGTGAGCTATGAAATGCCTAGAGCTAGAAGGGAGATACAGAACAGAATCTCAGAAGGAATCGGCAGGGCTGAGACATTCATTTGGACTTCTACTCTTTAGAATTGCGAAAAAATAAATTTGTGTTCTTTAAAGACACCAAAATTTGTTTTATTTTGTTATAGCAGCTGTAGACAGCTGAAAGAGAGTCGCACAGAGAAAGTGAGGGATCCTGAACTGCTGATCTTACAAGGGAGTGATGATCATGAATCTCAGCCCATGTCTTCAGCAATAAGTACATCAGAGTCTAATAGCCAAAGTTCACATACATGTTCCTGAATGAAGTGCCTGGGAATTTGTATCCTTCTGAGGATCCAGGTAAATCTTCTGAATCCCACATACCTCATTTTTCAGCTCTTAATATATGCCAGTCCCCTAATAACTCAAGATCACAACCACTCCTTCCTATACTCTGATATTCAACACACCGTTGGACATCCTAGTGTCCATTTAAACATAACGTCCTTTTGCATCTGCTACCACTACAGGCTCTCCTACATGTTTGTGTAATTCCTATGGGAAAGGCAAGGCACCTGACTGGAAAAGGAACATCTAGGAGCGGCAATACATTGTGTAAAGGTGAGCACATCAGGCAAACATCAACTCTCTGTCCTGAAACAAAGAGCGGCGCCAGAGGGGTGGTATTTGGAACAAGGTGAGCTTCCTCCCCGGGCAAGTTCCTCCCTTGAAGAGCAAGGCACTCACTCTGCATGTTTGGGAATAGCAGGAATACTTTTTTGGAAGGCGGGGGTGGGGGTGGGGCAGGGTTCTCTTGAAATGTCTTCATATCTGTTACAACCAGCAGAAAATATGACTACCATGATGACTAAAAAAACGAAACAGATGCTATGGAGTCAACTCAGACTCATGGTGGCCCCGTACATTGTGCCGAGTAGAACGGTGCTCTATAAGGTTTTCCGTGACTGGTTTCTCGGTAGTAAATTGCTAAGCCTTTCTGATGATGTGCTTCTGGGTAGATGTGAGTCGTCAGCTTTTTGGCTAACAGGTAAGCACAGCAGCCACTGACACCACCGCCCAGGGAATCCATGATAACGATAGTGAATATATAAAAATAAGAGCAGCCTAGAGTATATTCATCTTTATACCAAAATAGTCATATAGTGCTATATATCTACATATATATAATAGAGGAAAGGGTCTACTAAAGCAGACGTGTCCAGGGTCCATGAAAGCCATATTGCAGTCCTACCGACTTCATTTTGATGACTTCCTTCAAATTTGGATTTTTTTTTTTGTATAGAGTTTGATATAGCTCCTTTGGGTAACTACTTTGAGATGTAAGAAAACTCCTTTGTAAAAAGTACCTAATCCTGTGTGCAGTGGACATCCTGTCCTTATTGGGGTGGGGTGAGGGCTGCCGCAGGACACTTCATCTCTCTCCTTTCAAGCCTGACTTTAATCCACCATCATTTGAGCGGAGCCAGGGAGCACCTACATGGAACCTTCTTCTTCGTTTTATAAATCCTTTCCTATCAGGTCACTAGTACTAAAATAATAGTGCTCACAAGGGTCACAGTGTACAAGGATCAGGTGCATATTGTGTGTTGAACAATGAACCCAATGCTTCACACAATTGAGAACTAACTTGATTAACTTAGTGAATGAATCTGATTAAGCAAATCAATGTTCACATTGCATTTTAAGAAGGAAATGTGACTTTTCACTGCGTGAAATGCCTCTCCCACAGCAACTAGACATGCTTCTAAGTGCGTTAATGAGCTGCTCGGAGTTCCAGCCCAGACAGGCCATCTGGGCCTCTTCCCTTCCAACATACTCACCATTCCTTGCGGTCACATATTGGCTCTGGCTTGAGGGTTTTTTGACATTTCTCAGAGCTCTGGAAAAGTGCTCATCCACGACGCTGCTTATGTCTCCTTGGAAATAGGTGAAAAGGACACAGCGAGAATTCCACTCGGTTTTTATAGGAATCTTTCGTTTCTTGGTTGACTTCTTTGTCTCTTCCATTGTAGGTGATATGGGTGATAGCTGTAGAGTAAATGCAAAATACCATTGTTATACTTTCCCCAAGAGCCTTGGCTATGGGTAGAGTGAACAGCATCTGTAGGGGTCAGTGGTTTGCTCTTATCAATTACAGGCCCTCCCTGGGCCCCACAGAGCCACCAACTCCTGAGTAGTTCCAAGAAGCTCAACTGCTGTGCTGGTCTAAGGATCCGCTACAAACCCTCATTGCTCCAGATAAAGCCATTACTAAAAGGGACTTTCTCTCGTGAATAAGAAGAACTTTCTAGAAACTTAACTAGAATCAAATGATGACGTGGGGAGTGAAAGTGACTAGCAAGGTCAGATAATCTTCTGGGAAGCTATCTTCCTCCAACGTGAATGAGTCTGACATGCAGAAGGGCTAGGACAGAAGGAAGCATGGACACAGGAAACACTGTGAGCAAGTGTTGGGGATAAGTGATGGCGCACGGAGGGGATCAAAATGGATGAGTTAAAACAGAATGTGCGGGGGCGGGGGGCTGGGATGGAGGGGTAAAAATGAGGAGCTGATACCAAGGGCTCAAGTAGAAAGCAAATGTTTTGAGAATGACGATGGCAACAAATGTACAAATGTGCTTGACACAATGGATGGATCATGATGAGTTGTATGAGCCCCCAATAAAATGATTTAAAAAAAAAGAATGTGCGTGAATGGTCGAATGTAAAATTGATCATCTGCTCTGTACACCTGCCTCCAATTCACAATCAAAGGCAAAAAAAGGAGAAAAATATGTATGAATCCAGATGGGCCCAAAACGCCATATACATCCCCCACCAAGATGTGAGTACCCCTGAAACTTTGACAAAGCAGTATAGTAGGCCCTTAGAATGTTCAGTTCTCACAATTATCTCAACTACTTCCATGCAAAAGAATAAAATCCACCCAATTCTCAGACTCATCCAGATGACACACTATTCTATGTATATTGGATTTGCACCCCACGGCCCCATCTTAGAAACGAGCAAGTCCAAACTATATTACTTCTAGGATCTCCAGCAATGTATTATGAAGCAACTGCAGGTCTCCAAAAAAAAATCTTTAATTAGTATATTGTGGCAGAATTGGTGGGAGCTGCTGAAAGATTGTTAAGCTCTATTTATCAGTGCATTCTCAGTAGCTAGACCAGTGCCTGTTCTACAAGATGCAGCTTATAAGGAAGCCATTTGGTGGGAAGCACAGAGCCTTTGTACAGAGTTCTCATCTTTGGAGTCACTCAACCCCAGTCACAGATGGATTCTGTTGTCTGGAGAAGCCTCTCCTAGAGAATCCCCATTCGGCTCCGCCCTGGTTGACAGTCAGGTTAAGCACAACCAGATGCTACCTATAAATGAATCCCCGGTATCCTGATTTCACACAACATAGGAACAATTATTTTTTTAATTGTCAGTTTCTTATAAAATTAAACACATACTTAGCATAGGACCCAACAATCGACTTCTAGGTACTTATACACCACGATAAATGAAACATAAAGACCTGTTATGAATGTTCATAACAGTTGTGTTCATAATAGTGAAACTGGAAACAACTCAAACGTCCATCACCAGGAAAATAAGCAAACTGGTTGTGATCTAGTCATATAATGGGAGACCATTCAGCAAACCAACCAACCAACCAGGACCAACCTATCAATTCATACAGCAACATGGATGAATCTCAAAAACGCTGAACCAAAGAAATCAGGCACAAAAGACCATATATCATATGATTCCATGTATGTGGACCCAAACCAAACTCACAGCCACTAAGTCAATGCCGATGCATAGCGACCCTATATACCAATAATCTATAGGGATCAAAATCAGAATGGCAGCTGCCTGTGGGTGGAGATGGAGTGCCATGAGAGTATCGGGAATGTCCTCCAACTTAAGGAGGGTAAGGAATGTAGACACGTCAGAATTCCTCACAACGTGACTTAAGCTCTGTGAGTGTCACTAGGTTAATTGTTTCTCAATTTAACAAGCAGACACATGAGGTTGTATAAATAAAGGAAAGGTGTTTTATTTTGTTAAGTTGCTATGTGTCACCTCCAACTCACGGTCACATGTGTCAGAGTAGAACTCTAATCCAGATGGTCTTAGTGGTTGAATTTTTGGTAGTACAGTGAACCCTCGTTTATCGCGGTTAATCGGTTCTAGACCCTACCGTGATAAATGAAATTCCGCGAAGTAGGATTCCTTATTTGTAAATCAAATACTGTATTTTCGTAGTTAGAGCATAGAGGACATGAAAAAACACCCTTTAGTCACCATTACACTCGTATTACCCAATTTATTAAACAAAAAAGGGAAAATACAGTAAAACATTTTGGACGTTACAATTATCATTTATTATTTATTATATTATTTATGGCATCAAGCGTGTACAGTATGAGCCAATCAGTGGCAGTAATGACAGAGCATGCACTGTTAGGCAAAAACCACGATAGAGTGAAGCCGCGGAAGTCGAAGCGCGAAGTGGCGAGGGTTCACTGTAAATCATCAGGTCTTTCTTCCAGGATGCCTCAGTGGACTCAAACCTCCAACCTTTTGATTAGCAGTCACAAAGGGGTTGCTATGAGTCAGAATCGACTTGATGACAAGGAGTTTGGTTTGGTGTTAACCATGTGCACCATCAAGGGACAAAGGCGTTAGGCACTATAAAAAAGATAAGGGTGGAGACCAAACTTTTTTTTTAAGCTACAGTTTACAGAATATCCACTATATGCCAGAAGCTATCCATATCTTTTCTCCAATCTTTATAGCCCTCAAAGTAAATATTATTATCCCCATTTTATAGACGAGGCAATTGGGGCTTAAAACTGTCAATGAGTTGATTCCAACTCATAGTGAACCTATACGAGGTTTCAAAGACGATAAATCTTTATGGGCGTAAACAGCTTCATCTTTCTACAGCAAACTGGAGCTTAGAGAAGCGGAGAGAAAAATCAATAGTAAACTGCTTAGGCTACACAACCAAGTAGCGGTAGAGCAGGGATTTGAACTAAGGTGTCTCTGATACCAAAGTCTGTCCTCTTCCCAGCATCCCTTAGGGTTTTCTTTGGCACAGTTCCAGTTTTTCCACCATGTGTGAGGATAATAGTTCCTTCCTCTCTCTGGGCCCCAGCCTTCCCATGTGCTAAATGTGAAGGTTTGGCCTTTGAGCTGCTTGGTGCCTTACTCAAACCTGAAACCAGCCATCTTGTTTCCTATAGGGAATGCTGCAGTTTATCAGTCTACCCCAGAGGCTTTGGGCAGGCTCTATCTGATACTGTGAGGGTTGTGTAGCACCTCAGTAGGACACCTTTCTTACGCTCACCATTGCCAGCGGCCATTACTTTCAGCTGACTAGCTTGGGTTTGACACAGCTTGTAATCAATTTTTGCCATCTCTCCCTGAAGTCACAAGAGAAGGAGCTGGCCGGTATCTTGGGCCTAAAGCAATTCTTAGTTTCCTAGGTAAAAACCAAGAGACTGGGAGCAGGACACGCCCAAGAGACCCAGGTTTTAACCCCATCCATCATTTTGAAGAAATCAGATGGAGGGACAACCAGGGGTCCCACTGAAGGTCCAGAAGAAACTGAAAATACTCTTTGAGCTCTTCACTTCCCCCTCAAACCCTAGGATGTACACTCAAAGGAAAGCTATTGGGGTACTGCTTTAGGTTTGAAATGCACACACACACACACACACACACAAACCACACCAAATTCACCACCATCGGGTCAATGCCGACTTTTAGCGACCCTATAGGACGGGGTAGAACTACCCCTGTGAGTTTCTGAGACCGTGATTCTTAACGGGAGTAGAAAACCCCGTCTTTCTCCCAAAGAGCAGCTAATAAGTTTTAAACAACTGACCTTCGCTTAGCAGCCCAACACCTATCCAATACACCACCAGGGGTCTACAATGATAAATAGAGCTTACAATATTTCAGCAGCTGTCCACCAATGCTGTCACAATATATTATTCTAAACAAGCCTCCATCCCCCCACCCCCCACCCCATTTGGAGATCTGTCATTGCTTCAGAATACATGTCTGGAAAGCTTAGGCAGAGTATGGTTGGTCATTGCTGGCTTCTAAGATGGGGAGTGTGGAGTGCAGGTCAAGTCACCACCCTTACGGAAGTTGGATGCCAGTGGAGGGGGACTACCTTGGAGGAAATTCTGAACACATCCGGGGTTGCTGACCTCAAAGCCAGCAGTTTAAAACCACCAGCTGTTCCTCGGGAGCAAGACGGGCGTTGTACTCCCATGAAGAGTTACAGTCTTGGAAACTCAGTGGGGGCAGTTCTACCCCATCCTATGGGGTCGCTATGAGTCAGCATTGACTTGATGGCAGTGAATTTGGATTGTTTTTTTTTTTTCAGGGGGGAGGGGTACATAGCTTAGGCATAGTGGGTTTGTTGGGATGCTAACACCGAGGTCGGCAGTTTGAACCCATCAGCTGTTCCAGGAGAGAAAGATGAGGCTTTCTGCTCCTGTAAAGAATAAAGATTTCCTGCTTGAGCAACCCATGGGAGCAGTTTGACCTTGGTTCATAGAGTTGATCTGAGTTGGAGTTTGATCACAAGGCTTAGACCTATGTAGAGCTATCGCTCCCCCCACCCACCACGTTGAACTTTCTAAGGGCTGCTTTCTCCACAGAGGAATTGGCAGGTGGGCCTGGCCTAGGAGAAAGGGCTGCTGTGAAGGAGGTTGGAGGAAGGGTAGGGGTCTCCAGGAGAGGGTTCTGCAAGAAGACCCAGGCCCTGGCTCATAGCGAAAAGCCTCTTGCAGGCAATACCCCAGGGTCACATCGTGCCAGCGGGGCGTCCGCATGACATCATGAACGCACTGCGCACAATGTGTAGCCTTTTCCCCAACCCCCGCTCCTAAACGCCAAGTCCTTTAAGTGGACCTCGCAATGCTGCCGAGGCTTCTTCAAACACCTTGGAAGAAGATGGCATTCCAAGTCAGCAAGTGGGCCATCCCTCATCCCCTTGA